GCCTGTAGTATTTATGTAGAGAAATCAGCTGAGTTACAAGTTCCCTTGTAACTCAGTCTTTGCTTTTCTCTTGCTGCCTTTAGAATCATTTCTTTATCCTTGCCTCTGGCCATCTTAATTGTGATATGTCTTGATGTGGGTGTACTTGGGTTCTTCCTGTTTGGGACCCTCTGAGCTTCCTGTACTTGGATATCTGATTCCTTCTTTAAGTTTGGAAAATTTTCAGTCATGATTTCTTCAAAAACCTTTTCAATCCCCTTTGTTCTTTCTTCTCCTTCTGGGACCCCTATTATACATGTTTTATGTTATCCCATAGGTCTCTTATGCTATTTTCATTTGTTTTTATTTGTTTCTCTTGTAGCTCTTCTGATTGGGTGCATTCTATTGTCCTGTCTTCTAGGTCACTAATTCGTTCCTCTGCATTATGTAGTTGGCTTTGCACAGCTTTTAGATGATTCCTCATCTCAGTCAATGAGTTTGCCCATTCTACTTGGCTCTTCTTTATAGCTTCAATTTCATTTTTGACATATTTTATATCTCTAAACACTATCTCTTTTAATTCCTTCAGCAATTTGATTATTCCTTTTTTGAAATCTTGATCTAGTAAGCTATTGATGTCTATTTCATTGATCGTTCCTTCAGAGAATTTCTCTTGTTCTTTTAATTGGGAATGCTTTCTCTGCTTCTTCATCTTGCTCATACCTCTCTGGCACTGTGGTTCATGGACTATCAGTTATCTATTGTTGTTCGAAAGGTGTTTATCTGTCTAATGCCTATCTACGAATGATCCTTAGAAAAAAAGAAAAAATGAAGAAAATTTGAAAAGAAGGGAGAAGAAAAGTTTTGAAAACAGTGTATAATGAGTAATAGAAGAGCAAGTTGAAGCAGAATTGCAATCGGCTTGAGACATCCTTTTAAAACCTTTAAATAAAAGGGGAAAAAATGAAAAGATGTATTTGAAACCTGTGTCTAATCAGTAACAGGACATCAAAACCCAAAAGAAATGAAAATGAATTAAAAGTAAAAATTAAGAGGGTGGTAGGAAATTGAACATGTAAAAACAGATTAAAAAGAAAAAGGGCGGGTCGGTATTCTCCTGTAGTCTGTGTGCATTTAATGTGAAGTCTTTCTGTGTTCATCCTGTTTTGGAAGCTCAGCTTGCTGTTTCCAGAGGCCCTCCATTGGCGCCCTCTTCTGTGCTGCCCCCAGTACCTGTAGGCAAGCAGATGGCGCCTCCTCCCAACACTGGGTCAGGTGCAGCTCTCCTTTGCTGTGGGCGGCAAGTCACTGGCCCTTATGATGCTGCATTCAGATGTTGCAGACTGGCCAGGTGGGACGGTGGGTCGCAGCCCCTCCAAGCATCGCGGGCAGTGTCTGCGTTCTGCCCGAAAGGTGGAGGGCCACTCTCCCTCTCCCAGTGCCGGTACCTCTGCTGCTCTGTGCCGCTGCGTGCTCCGCCTCGGTTTGGCGCTCTGCAGGTGGGCTCGGGGAAGACCGAGGAACAACCTTGTCCCTGCTCCAGGCCAAAACCCAACTTGTTTGTCTTGGCAGAGCAAGTTCTCTGAGGGACCAGGATGGAAGGATCCTATCTGCCTCGGGGTGTAGACAAGTCTCTGTCTGGCCTTTGAGGCTGCTAAGCCCTTAGGTGCGGATGCAGGTTTCACCCCTGCTCCCGCCTGGATGCTAAGCAAGGCTGGAGGATATGGTGGCTGTGCCTGAGCCCCACCTCTCTTCCCCCAAAACCTTTCTGTGGGTTTTCAGAGATGGGGGTATGCACCCTTCCCCCCAGGGCACATCAACCGTGTTGTTTTATGGTGGGCCCAGTTTCTGCCCTGTGCACCCACAGCCACAGTTTGCAGCCCCTTGCAATCCCCTGGGGCTGCCTCAGTGCAAGCGCCCCTGACCTTTGCCTGGCTTGGGCAGCCTGGCCCTGCCCCCAGCTGCTGGCCCGCATCTCAGCCTGGGTGTCATCAGGACCCTCTGTAACCATTAAATTTAGTTCTGTCAGTCAAGGGCTGCTCTGTACAGATCCAAGCCTTGGAGGTTCCCCCTCCAACCTGCTGGTCTCTCAGTTGGAGGCGGGAGATCCAGGGAATGAACTCCAACCCTCCTTTGCCGCTCCCTCCCCGTGGGACCCCTCCCGCTCTGCTTTGCATTTTATTCTTTCTTTTTTCCTTTTCTCCTACCAAATTTTTGGCATCTCTATCTTTTGAAGAGGGCGATGTTCTTTTGGAGTTCCTCAGGTGCTCTGGTTGGCTGAGTGGGTCTACGGATATGAGCCTTGTGCATTTATTGTAGAGGGTGAGCTACGAGCATCCTCTACTCCGCCATCTTCTCTCTTCTGCCTTTTTTGAAATCTTGATCTAATAGACCATCAATGTGTATTTCCTTTATTGTGCTTTCAGGGAATTTCTCTTGCTGTTTTAATTGGGGGTGGTTCCTCTGCTTCTTCATATTGCTCATATCTCCCTGGCACTGTGGCTTAAGGAGTATCAGTTATCTAGTTCTCCTGGAGATGGTGTGCTCTTAATGATTTTATCGAGAGGTCTTTGTGTCTTCGCCCTGTTTTGCATACTCAGCTTATTGTTTCCAGAGTCCCTGTGTTGGCGCCCTCGTCTGTGCTGCTCCCAGTGGCTATTGGCTAGCAGTTCGTGCCCCTTCCCAACACTGGGTATGGTGCTGAGCTCTTACCCGGTGGGCAGGCGGGTTTCTCCCCCTCCCGATGCCGCAGTCAGATGCTGCGCTTGGGGGAGGCAGATGGGCTGATTGCACCCCTTCCCAGCACCATGGTCACGTGGCTGTGTTCCTGCCAAGAAGGCGGGTGGCTCCCTGTCCTCTCCTGGTGCCGGTTGCTCTGCTGCTCTGTGCAGCTGCCTGCTCTGCCTCAGGTCGGCACGCCAAAGGCTGGCTCAGGGAAGTCTGCAGAACAACTCCACCCCTGCTCTGTTCAAAAACTCAGTTCTTTGTCTTGGCAGTGTGAGTTTTCTGAGGTGCCATGGCAGAAAGATCCTATCTGCCACAGGCTGTAAACAAGTCTCAGTCCTGCGTGGGAGGGTATGGAGCCCCAGGGTGCGGATTCAGGTCTCAGCCCCACCCCCGCCCGGGCGCTGCGCACAGGAGATGGTGGCTGTGGCTGAGCCCCGCCTCTCTTCTCAGGAGAAGCGCCAGTAATGGCGGTGCAGGTCTGAGGAGATAAAGGCTATGGCACACCAGCCCTGCTGCTTTGCTTATTTTTACAGTTTATGGGGGACCGAGGTGGTTCTGCTCCATATCCCCTCCCAGCCATGGCGTGCAGCCCCCTGCAGTCCCCCGGTGCTGCCTCAGTGCAGCCACCACAGTCCTCCACCCGGGTCAGGCAGCCTGTCCCTGCCTGCAGCTGCCAGTTCATTTCTCGGGCTGGGTGTCACGGGGACCCTTTGTGCCTGTTTAACTCAGTTCTGTTGGTCAAGAGGTGCTTGGGGCAGATCTGAGCCTTGGAGGCTCCCCTTCCATCCCACTGGCTTCTCTGTTGGAGAGGGGAGACCCAGTGAACAAGCGCCAGTCCTCCTTTGCAGCTTCCTCCCCACGGGATTGGTCTTGCACGGTTTTGCTTTTTCTTCTTTCTTTTCTCCTTTTCTCCTACCAGATTTTTGGCGTTTTTATCTTTCATAGAGGGTGATGTTCTGTCGGAGTTCGGCAGGTGCTCTGGGTTGGCTGATGAGGTCCGTAGATGTGAGTTTTGGTGTATTTGTGGGAGAGGGTGAGCTACAAGCATCCTTCTACTCCACCATTTTGCTTCTCTCTCCCTGGTGTATCATATTTGTAATGGTAATACGAGAAGGAGAAGAAAGGAAAGAACAGAAGAAATATTTAAAGCAATAATGACTGAGATTTTCCCCAAGTTAATGTCAGACATCAAATCACAGATCCAGGAAGCTTAGAGAACACAAAGCAGGATTAATGCAAGACAAAAACAAAGACAAAAACAACAACAATAACATCAAAACCCCCAAGGCCCCTACACCTAGGCATATCATATTTCAAATTGCAGAAAATCAAAGATAAGGAAAAAACTCCTAAAATAATCCAGGGGAAAAACACCTGACCAATACAGGAACAAAGGTAAGAGTTGTAGTCAGGAGTCATGCAACCAAGAAGAGAAAGGATTGATATCCTTTAAGTGTTGATATAAGAACACAGATCTAGAATTCTATTTCCTTCAAACTTATCCTTCAGAAGTTAAAAATAAAGGCTTTCTGAGATAAACAAAAATTAAGGAAATTTGTTGTCATTAGTTCAGCCTGGTAAAAATGCTAAAAGAAGTTCTTCAGAAAGAAGGAAAATGGTATAGGTTTGAAACTCAGATCTATATAAAGAAAAATAATTAGATCAACTAATTGATCTAATAGATAACAGTTTGTTCAAAAATAATGATATCAATGAATATATTTTGATTATACCTTCTGTTTAAGCCAGATGAATGACAGCAATGATACAAAGAATGAAGGGAATGAATTAGGAATATTTTCTTACTACTTCCTAAAATGGTGAAAGTAGTATGAAATCCTAGCAAAATTCTGGAGTGAATTACTAAATAGATGGTTGTACTACCTGTGATGCCATAGAGTGTTGTTTGAAAAGTGGACTTGAATTAGTTATAAATGCACATTGCAAACTCTAGGGCAACCACTAAAAAGAGTGAAGTGTAATAGATAGGCTAATAAAGGAGAGAAAATGGAATCATATGAAGACACATACAGATTAAAGGAAAGGAATGGAGAAAGTTATACCAGACTAACACTAACCAAAGGAAAACTGGAGTAGCTGTATTAATTTCAGACAGAGCAGACTTCAATGCAAGGAAAATTATTAGGGATAAAGTGGAGCATTACATAATTCTCTAAGAAAACATAACAGTCCTTTTTATGTATGTGCCTAACATCAGAACTTCAAAATACATGAGACAAAGTGTAAGACTGATCAACAAATTTTAATGTGTTAGAACAATAAAAGGTCATTTATCCCAGTAAAGAAACATTTACATGACTTCCCTTCTATCCTGGTCCCAGGTCCTAAAAAGGTGAACCCACTGGAGCTGGCTGGGGGAGAAAAGAAAAGTTTATTACAAAAGGAACTGTCTGAGGAATCATAAGGATTTCTAAATATGGAAAAAGGAGAAATAATCACTTGTTAAAAAATCAGTTGTATACTTTTTTCACATCTGAAGAAAGAAGGCACATATAATGCAACTGTTGGAAGACATCAAAAGGTAATTTTCTATTTATTGCTTGTACAGTCTAGCTGTTCAAATTATCATACAGTCATTTCAGCATTTTTCTAAATAAAATATTTTTTAACCTTCAAAAAAAAGAAAGTAATTGGTATAGTTAGGGTTCCACATTGCGACCAACCTTTAGGAAACTATCATTTGTCAAATTTTGGTATAGCATCAAAGAATACCCAGAACTATCTGAAAAGAATATTAAAATATCCCACCTTTTTCCAGTTATATATCTGGAATTTTCTTCATAAATTTCAACCTGAACAACATTTTGAAGCAGATTTGAATGCAGAAGCAGATATTAGAATCTCGCTGTTTTCTGTTAAGCTGTATTTTAAGAGATTTGCAGAAGTGTAAAACAGTGCTACTTTTCCCATTATTTTTTGTTTTGTAAAATATAATTATTTTTAAAGGTAGTTTTTTAATAAAATATATTATTTATATTACCATATAATGGGTTTATTATTGCTATTTTAAATATATTAGAAGTTAATTTTTTTCTCAGCCCTAATATAGTTAATATTGATAAAATCCACATTCAGAACATTAGAACAGCTAGTTGTTCTGTTAGTCTTTCCTCAATTATAATGCACCTCATTTCTCTCATAACCATGTTTGTCTACCCTATCTAGCTAGATAATCATTCTTTTTAAAGAGGAAATAGAACAAAATAGAAGTAAAGCAGTTCTGCTTTCTTATATGATTATGATAGGATATTTCCCAAAGAGTGAACCTATTATGTGGGATTTGTTGTTGTTGTTCTGATCCTACCTTTAATAAGCCATTTTGTATTGTACATTTTTGTATCCCTTATTTCTCTATGAGCTGTAGTCTTTCTAAGGAAATTCTTATGATTATTGGTTTTGTTAGTGGATAGAAGGACTCCTAAATTAGGAAGCCCACCAAACTGTGGGTCCTTGCTGCTGGCTGTGAAAGAATTTGCACATCAGAGGCAGAGGAACTAAGTGAACAGCCGCTTTATTGCTCATAAGGGGAAATAGAAGGAAAGTGCTTGAGCAGTGAGAAGGAAAGAAAAATGCTCAAGTGAAGGAAGGAAGCACTTGTGCAGGGAGCCATCAGCCAAGATGGCCAGTAGAGACAGTTCTGGCCTGGGTCGGGGCAATGCAGATTTTTATGAGAGGTTTCTGCCATCAGGTCCTCCTGCATGTGATGGAGCCAATCAGTCCTTGTATGGGCTTTACTGTCCTTGTGTGGGCTTTTCTGGTTGTTGTCATGGCAATTGTTGACTGTCATGGCTCTAGCAGGGTGTGTCACTAAGCATGCTACTACATTACAATGAACATATGAGGCTCAAGGTCCACTGGAAGTCAAATCCTCCATCATCTTGAGCTCCACTGATCCTAACCAGTTCTTGTTTCTTCTCATTGCAGCTTCCTCCTGAGACTTAGATAAGAGTAATTGGTTTCTAGTCGAAGGGGGGCCAGGGGTATGATCCTGGAGCAACAGCCTTGGTAACAAAAAGGACAGTTGCTTTTAATCAGAATGCCAGCAATCTTGTGGACCTAGTGTTCCCCCCAAACAATGGTCTCTGAAACTTCTACTCAACCATAAGCAAGAGTCAGGGGTAGGGGGAGCCTTAGTTCTTGTAGAAGAGCTTAAAGACATGTATATTCCTTGAGGAGGAACCAGGACCCTGCTCCAGGGCTGTACTATTATTTCTTGACTGCTCCTCCCTAGTTTATGCATTTCCTCCCTTCCCTGATTAGCAACTCTTTGAATCTACTCTTTGGAACTAAGGGAAGGTCAAGGAGACTGCATGAAGCCTATTTTCTACAAAAGAGAAATGGGGGACAGAAAGGATTTGTATCAGGGAGGGCCCACAGGGTCCTGCTCCCTTTCAATCCCCCCTTTTCTTTGATATTCCTCAATCTTGAAGAGAACAGATGTTGGGCAAGAAAGGGATAAAATTTTGAATAGAGAGGTTAATCAAACTTGGTAGAGGAACTCAAGTTTTAGCGGGGCTCGGTTTCAGTTTTACATACTCATCCTTTGTCAAATGCCTTCTCTTCCATCTTTTATACATTTTCTTAAGTCTGACTTCATTAAAGAATTGAAGGAACTATTTGCTTAGTCATAATGGCTTATTTAAGCATGCTTTTCTTATGGAGATCCTATTAAATGATCTTTTTCAAAATTTTGCTTTTGAGAAATACCCTTCCTTTTTTAACCAAATTTTAGAGCCTGTTTTCACTTCACTGATTGAATGCCCATTATCCATGTGGTAGATCTTTGAGAATGGATCTTATGATTATTGTTGTGGGCCACAATGTGGCAGCCAGTTGGTGAGCCAGTGAAACATGGGTTGGTAAAAGAATTTACCAGAGATAGAGTGTGGAAACAGAAAAAGAGTTCATTAGGGGTACCCTGCCATAGACAACAGTGGGACACACAATCGAGAGGTGCCTGTGTAAGCACCCAGAGCCAGTTGTTGGGGTGTTTTATAAGGTAGGGTCGCAAGGTGCCTGATCAGCTTGTACATAAGGCTCCAATTGGTTGTAGGTGAGGTAAGAGGTTTAGGGTCTGTGAAGGGCAGTGGGGTTTATGACTCTGATAAGGTGGGCTGAATCAAGCCAGCCTGAGCTATTGTGAGGTTAGGCAATACCTAGGGCTATTTGTTAGGGGAAGGATGCACAGTAAAGAATGTACTTTATCTGTTGAAGGGTCACAGGCAGGCAACTGAGAACCCAGAAATGAGGGTCCTTGGACTTTGAAGGACGTCATTTGGCCCAACAGTTATGACCTAGTACACACACACAACTGAAATGAAAGTTTCACAAGATAATACTTCCTGTGGTAGGGCTCAATTAAGAGACAGAAACCAGAACAAGGAAGGTTAGTAGAAATAATTTTTAATTATAACAAGGAATTGTAGTAGTGGGTGATTGGCCAGTAAGGGATAAATAGAACTCTTATGAATATAGGAATAGCAGATACAAGGTGCAGCTTCTACTCTTGGGGATGAGATAGAGCACCCAAGGAAGGAATAAATCTGGAAAACCCTCCTTCCCTCTGCCCTTGACAGAGAATCCAGACCTTGTTGGAAAGGGCATGGCTGTGGCTTACCGGACTGTGGAGAATTTAGCTGAGGTGCCACACTGGAGTGACTCCCAGGGAAGCTGAGTTAATTATTTTCTGGAATACTAGGGGAAGTCATCCATGAGGAGGTGTAGTACCTTGAAATTCATAGCAAAGCTGCCTGAGGACATAACAGAGAAAGCCATCCATAGGGAGGTGCCACGCCAGCAACATTAGCTGGAAAACTGCTTGGGTGTGTTTGGGAAACCTTTTACTGGGAGGAGCCACACTGTGACACTCCACACCTAAGGGTGTATCATGAGGAAGCTTATCATGAGGAGGTGCTGCATGCTGCTTGCCACATATTCTGTCACCAGCTGAGAAGAGCAATTGAAACTGAAAACAATGAATTGAAAGCACTTTATCCTTACTATGCTCAATGTTCTCTGATTTTCCTATTCTATTTTATTTTTTCCATTTTTTTGAAATCCACTAAATTGATTTTATTGGCTGTGATCTGCTGTCTAAAAAATAATGAGGTAAAGGATGTAAAAAGATATAAACCAAGGTCCTTGACTTTGAGGAGCATAACACCCAATTGGGGTAATAGAGTATTTCCATAAGGAAATGAACTTCAAGGTAATATAGACCGAGGGCTGCATAAATGTTACAGGAAGTCTTATAGGTATTTGCTAATCATTAATAGTTTTGAAAGTTAGAAATTAAAGAAGTAAATAAGTTAGTAGATATTAATGAATTAGACAAGTAGAGAGAGATGTTATGAGCATTGGGCTTGGACCTGAGGTACTTGGTACATAGATAATGAATTGCCATTGCAGAGTTATAAATAGGGGCATGACTTGGTTAAGTTAGCATTTCATTTATTAGTTTATTTTAAATTATCTTTTATGTATATTGCTTCGGTGGTAATTTAAATAAGACAAGATCATAGGAAGGGAGAGTGGAATGTGTAGTAGACTATTATAGTTTTTAGAAGAAGGCCTGAAATAGTATATAGGTAATAGGGAAAGTGGGAAAAAATGAAACTAAGAATCATACAGGGGTAAAATAATCAGATCTTGGTTCTTGATTTAATACGTATTAGAAAAGGAAGGAGGAATTAGGAGTCCTGAGTGTTTGGCTACAGCAGCTAGCAGGATGATGGGCAAGGAACATAGGAGAAGGACCAAGTAAGATAAGAAGATGATATATTCAGTTTAGTGAATAATAATTTTAGCCAATAACATTTGTCAAGCACGTACCATATAACAGGCACTATCCTAAGCAATTTCCATGTATTAATTAACTTAATCCTCACAGCGACCTAGTGAGGTAAGTGCAATTATTATTATCCCCAATTTTAGATGAGACTACATAATTTTTCCAGGTTCACACAAATTGCAAGGGCTGAAGGTGAAATTCAAACACAGTCTGATTCCAGAGCCCATGAAGTGCTTGTGGGAGACATTCAAATGAACATGGATATTTGTACTCAGAATAAAGGTTAAGACTAGATTTGAATGCCATTAGTTGTTTAGGTAGTAGTTAAAACAATTAGAGTCAGTGATCTCACCTAGGGCATAGATAAAGAAAATGCAGAAAGGTAAGTGGTGGCCATATTAGGAAGGACCTTAAATGCCAGGGTTGGATGTGTAGACTTTAGCTGTTAAGAGTAGAGTGCCAATGGAACTTTTTAATACATTAGGATGTGAAGTAGAAATGTGCAAATATGGCTATAAATATGATTTGAATCACTTTGGGGGATAAATTAAAAAGGGAAAAGACCAATTATGAAATCTTAGTAGTCCATTATGAGGTGGTAAGGATATAGGTGGGCAGTTGCAAAGAGGCCAGATAAGAGAGGGTCTGTAGGCATAAGATATGTAGCTTTTGGATATACATGTCAAGGTTTTCTGGGTTATCCCCAGTTTTTACCTAAAGCTTCCAGTTTC